GAGAGGACCTGGACCGGAAAACTCGCAAATAGATGGATGGGACCTTACAGAGTGGTTGAGGCACTCGACTGGGGTGCATATATGATAGCAGAATTGGATGGATCTAAGTGGAAGGACCCAGTGGCGGGCGCTAGGTTAAAGCTGTTTAGGCCCAGGTCCGCGCCCGCCTTATCGCTGACCAGCCCGAAAGAGAAAGGAAAAGCCATAATGAAGGAAAGAGCTCCCTTGAGGCAATTCGAGGCAAGGAAGAGTTCCAAGAAAAGGAAAAAAATAGAGAAGAGAAAGGTCAAAGGGTTAGCTTTAGAAAGAGAGAAGAGATGGTTATTCGTGCTCAAGCGAGCTAGACAGAGAGTTCGCGTTAGACGTACTGGCGAGTCGACACCCTTCTCGGGGCAAAGACAGAAGAAAAAGAGGATCGTGTCGGGGCAAAAAACCAGAAGAAACAATAGAGTCACGAAGCATCTTCTTAGCCCCAGGACTCATAACAAACTGAAACACAAGACAATTGAACGCCGACGTGGACGTCCTTTACGGGCCATCACCCTGAAGCTCATCCCCTTCGTCTGACGTAAGTTGCTAGGGCTCGACGGGGGCGTCAAGAAGTGGTCCGGGCTAACTGTCAGGCGGCCACAAGCAGTGCGCCGCCTGAAATCTACGGTTTTGGGACTTAGGCGCAAAGACGAGTCTGAGTTTTGACGATACTCTGGTTAGAACAGGCAGCGGAGATTAGGGGAGCTCAGGGCGCCCTTGATTTTGGGCGCGCTGAACCTTACAGGTAACCCTTAAAGATGGCGAGATGGGTGGTCGCACTCGGCACATCAACGGACCGTCATTCCCGACCGTTCAGAGGGTTAGACTCGGATTGGCCTGCCGCGGAGAGGCATCGCGGGAACTGACCTCGCAGCCACATTTTTTGCGGCATACAACCGGGGCCGAAATGATGCATGAAATTTTTGTCTATTTTAGTACCATAATTAAAGATGAGGAAAAGGGATTACGACCAGTAGGGGAGAAGGGAAACACATAATATCCCTTAATTTCTTTATTTTTAACGACATTAAATTCAAGGGGGAATACCCTTGTTATTTTATGTTCCCGGCAATGAAATTAAAAACATAGAAAAAGATTAAAAATGGTAAAAGAGAAAAGGAACAAAAGGAATTCGGCCGTTTATTTAAATTTTCTCTGAATTTAATTTTGGGGAACTWACAGTTARTTTACTATTTCAGACARTAGAATTAAGGAAAGGGAASAAARATGAAAAMCGATGAAAGGGACGGGAACCCATGACCATTGGGAGATTGGCCTGATTTCGCTTCGATTACCCGCCATCAGCTCTGACTCCGGATTGATCATTTTCCCTGGATTTTAACAAGTTAACACTACTGCCGATGGTCGAGGTTCCCTGCGATGCTTTCCCTGGTGTGCTTGATTACTAACATTACCGTAGTTGAGATGTTATGAGAGCAGGAGTCGCATGGACAACATGGGGTGGTGCTGCCTTGGGTCGACTATGGTGTTTGGTTCGGTATGGATACGAGGGTCGTTACGGAGTGGCTACGTCCTAYAGTGTCTGACGTGCTTCAGGTACGGTATGGGCCCTGTGACAGCTGTCTCACTACGGTGACTTATTTTCAGGTTTGGGACAGCTGCAGTGATTTATTCTCARGACCGGGGCCACTACGACAGTTATTCCAGGCGGCAKTTTGTTTTCAGGTCCGGAAAYGTTGCGGCATTCTATATCAGGTTCGGGGCAGGTTATCATRGCATGATTGTACGGGTTCGGCATCCGCATGGCACAACAGCCCGGTACTGGATTTCGGTTTGGTCAGGTTCGGTGGCATCGCGGTGATTCGTTTCAGGTTCGACACCCTCACGACAGTTTATTTCGGAACCTCTGCGGTGATTTATTTTCAGGACCGSGAWCATTGCGACGGTTTACTTCAGGTTCGGCAATATTACCGYGCCGCTGCATCTTGRATCATTGCGACGGTTTACTTCAGGTTCGGCACTATTACCACGCCGCTGCATCTTGCCGTGTTCGATATGTTTCAGGTACGGTACAACGAGCCTGTGAGACCGGTACCACTGTTTTCTTTTTCCTCCGTGGCRCGGCGGACTATTTCCTGCACACTTGCACTCCGAGAAGGCCCTGGTCGGTCAGACCATGGGACTGAAGTGGATATAGGGGAGAACAGTGAAGGGAATGGGATGGCATGCCAGGCGTACCCAGCGCACCGCTGACTTGAGCTGCAGTGAGCCGGGAGGAATTCGGCGCGAGGCGGTTACAGGAGAGGCAAGGCGGGCGAGGCGCACCCAGCGAAGCGGGAAACCGTTGGTCGCGAGGGATAGCGCAAGTGGAGTCCATCGTGCACGACGCGCTCGAGGGAGAGGGAACGTGCTCGTAGGAGGGAGACGCAGTTGACGGGCCAGGTGCACCCAGCCCACTCTGTAGTCGCGCTCAGAGTCAAGATCAGCGGGTCAGGTGTACGCGAGGAGATTGGGGAGCGACCGACAGAGAAAGAAGGAGTGCACTGTGAGATAGAGTGAGAGGTAGAGACTGTGTGAGAGAGGGAGAGGGGAAACCAGACAGTGTGTGCTGCGTCAGGCGTACTCTTCGAGAGGAGACTGACTTGAGATAAGCTTGTTTGAGGGGGACATGCGTGCAGAGTGTCGTGAGAAGGAGCACTCTAGCAAACTGCGTGTGTGCCGTGCACTCAGACGCAGATGAAGAGACCAACGACATGCGCCTCGATGACATGGGCTTCAATTGCCTGCCGCTGCTGAAGAGAACAGTTCCAATCACTTMCCGGTACAGACGAGAACKGCTGCAATCTCTTACCGCTGTTGAAGAAAGAAATTCCCATCACTTACCGCCGCTGAGGAGAGCAACTTCATCCACTGGCTGCCGCAGATGCGACCAGCTTCAAGGGCTTAAATGGGTCCAGCTTCAGCCTCTTATCGCARCTGATGGGTTCTGCTGAACGAGAGGGGATATAGTGGGGAAGAATTAGCAAGGCAATCGAGTAACCCTGCTGTGAAGTTCGCTGACCAACCTATGAAGTTTTCTGACTTCGAGTGGTGCTAATCTCGCCTGCAGATCAGGCAATCGAGTATCCTGGTTGCGACGTCTGTAGCTCAGCCGACTAAGAATTCCCGCTGCGAGCGGGACCTGTCAATGTTGTCAATTAAGCAAATAGGACGAGACAAAAAAGGAGGTAAGAGGTAAGTACCCGGAAGCAGTTGTGGGACGGGTACATAATATATGAGCGACTACATGCGGACTCATACAATTGGAGAGGAGTGAGCCTTGTGTATGATTGATGGAAAATTTTTCTTATTATCAAAATTATTGTTTTTTTCTTTTTTCTTTTTTCCTTCGTATTTTCAATCACGGGCGCTTGCTCGATGAGGATAACGAAGTGAGCTCGTGAGAGAGAGAGAGAGAGAGAGAGAGAAAGAGAGAGAGAGAGAGAGAGAGAGAGAGAGAGAGAGAGAGAGTGGGGAGATTGACAGCGCAGGGAGAGAGAGAGAGAGAGAGAGGGGGGAGAGTGACAACGCAGAGAGAGAGAGAGAGAGAGAGAGAGAGAGAGAGAGAGAGAGAGAGAGAGAGAGAGAGAGAGAGAGAGAGGAAGACTCCCTGTTGAATGATCGGGCGATCTCTGCTGACGGGCGGGCCGACTGCCCATTGGCTGAACGAGCAGTTCCTGTTTATTGAATAATCAAATATACTCTCCCCCCGCATCTTTTTGTTTCCTTCTTATTGGCTGGTCAAATTGTTCGAGGCTCTTTGGTTTCGTGGACGATGTTGTAAAGTCTGCGTCCTTCACCCGTTGTCCAGAAACATTTGCCATCCACCCAAAGAAGCGCACGGTCGATAAGGTCTTTCGTCTTGACTCCCCTGCGTGCCCGGCTTGAAGCGGCCTCGCCGCCATCCCGTTGGTTCGTGTTCTGTCCACGACCCTCCTCTCTCACCGTCGTCGGAACTGCAGCCTCCTCTCTCGCCGCCGGAACGGAAGGGACAACACCTGCAACAGCCACACTCGCGCCACTTGCCGCCTCGCCCCCTGCTGCATGCGCGTCTGCCACGACTCCCCCCCCGCCACCTCGTTGGCGAGACGCACCGTCACCACTGTCGTTGCACTGACGCGGCTGAGACGGCGTGCAGGGCAGTGCACATGTGATCGGCCTTTCGTCCTCTGCAGCGCGAGCCGTCGACACCGCCGCTGTGGGCGCTTGTGTCGCACTACGCACGCGACGTTTTTCCAAAGGCTCGTCGTCTTCGCCGCCAAAGTCCACCACAACACCCTTCTCTTTCCACGTTTCGCGGATACGCAGCTGCTGCGCCTCCGGCGAAGGGGTTGACATCCTCTTCGAAGCGCTCTGATCCGGAGTGCGCTGCCTGGCACTCTCCCGTCCTGCAGACGCCGTCGCCTCGCCTTGATCATCCTCCATCATGAAATTATCGTCGTTGACCTCTTCCGCGGCCTGCGCCCAACCTCGCGCACCACGACGCGGCACGCTTGCTGACGCATCATCCAAACGTTGCCTCTTCGCCTTCGGGATGTGACGCCGACCTTTCCCCTGGGCTTGGGTTTCGTCAAGCGCGACGTCGTGCTTCTTGCCACGGGCATTCAATCGCGCAGACATGCTCACTGGGGACCCCCACAAGCGATCTCGGTGTAGCGCTCGGCTGACGTGTGCTGTTTCGTCGAAAAAGATGTCACCCGTCTCTTGCCAGCCTGGTGAGACAGGCTATCCCGACGACGCTGAAGATGTGTCCTCCGCTCCAGGATGACGACGACGCGCAAGCGCACCACGGAAGGATGATGTCCCCGACGACACCTGTCCTTCGTGATGGCGGAAGTGCTCCGCGGCGAGAAGAGTGACTGCCAGAAGAGCGGAAGCGATGACGGTGAGAAGCGTTGTGGCACTGCAGATGCGTGGCGGGAAGTGTGCAGCTGGCACGGCGAGAAGCGTTGTGGCACTGCAGATGCGCGGCGGGAACCTTGTAGCGCGCCCGACGAGAAGCGTTGTGGCACTGCAAATGCGCGGCGGGAAGTGTGCACCTGGCACAACGAGAAGCGTTGTGAAATCACCCTCGTGCAGACGACATTTATGCAGCTCCGGACGCGCAGCACTGAAATGACACTAGCAGAAGGACCGTCCACGACGTCGCGTCCTCGTGGCGGGAAAACGGAACGACGACGGGGACACGTGCTACCGCCATGCATGTCCAGGCCTGTCATTATCAACCTTCCGAAGCCTCGACAAGGCCCTTCCACGTTCGGTCGACGCGCACGAATGCACTCCGGAAGGACCAAAACAAAAACGGCCCGCCTTCACCCGCGGACACCCCATCGCGCGTCCCCCTCGCAGCAAACGACCCCTCCATAACCAACCCCCCCCCCCCAATTCCCCCTCACAACCCGCTTCCACAGCAAACCGCGCTGTCCAAAACCCCATACAAAACACCCCCTTTCGACAGTGGCTATGTGTGTGTCGATCAACCAAAACGCAGACGATGGGTGGTCCTTGAAAACGCAAACTACCCC